GTGGACAGCCCTTAAAATGATTCGATCTAACAATTCTTCCAATGTTCTTTCCTTGTCGGAAAAAATGCGTGAGTTTCTTTCTTCCCACAATGACCAGCATACCGCTGCCCTAATACACCTCCATATAGTCTTCCCTTGCTTCCTAGGCCAACTGAAAAAAGAAGAAGAAAACAAACATTGGATAGTCTCCGGAGGATACCAAGAACACTCAAAACGGGAGAAAACCCATTCCCAAACAGTTTTAGCCAGATTCCCCATCAGCTTTACAAAGAGCACATCTATTAGGAAGTAGACAATAGTTGGGTCTCTTTCTCTGAAGTAAGTCTAAAGTATTGATTCTTTCCAGGAAAATTTCCCAACAAAAAAACCAACCCGAGGAGGAATAGGCCTGCTCCAAATTTCCTTAACCGGAAAGGCATACAGTATCTATCCAAAAAAAAAACAAAAACAAAAAAGGCGTACAGATTATCACAAGACTGAGTTATACTAGGAGCTTCTTATCAGCAAACTCTAAGCCCTAAGGCCTAGCTGAGGATTTCTTTTTATATGTAGATCACTAATAAACACTAGTGTTTTGCTTTTTTGTTGTGAAGAGTAACTTGGTAGGAAAACCCTGTTGGAGTTTTAGAGGATTCATTTTTCTTAACCCCCAAAATGGACGAGTGGTCATCATTATTATCATTTTGGAAGATTAATTTGTTGACTTTTGTGTCAATGAAACTGGCCTTTTCTTCCATTCCAGGTATGTCAAACCACCCATCTTTACACTTTGTGTTGGTAATGCTTGGGGAGAGGCAGCTTTGCTTTTGGCTGCTGGAGCTAAAGGAAACCGCTCTGCTTTGCCCTCATCTACAATCATGATAAAGCAGGTATCTCTTCTCAACTAATAGACACTAGCATGCTATTTCGATGAGTCTACTGTTGTGTTACCTGGCAGCATTCCATTTTGACTGTACATTTTTCTTATCTGATTGATCCATGTAAGTGGATTGGTTATTAACATGAAAATCATCGATTTTTCTTCCACCAATCTGCAGCCAATTGCAAGATTTCAAGGTCAAGCAACAGATATCGACCTTGCAAGAAAAGAAGTAAAGAATGTGAAGAAAGAATTGGTAAGATTTCAGCATTAGTCCAATTTAAGTTATATAATTCTTCTATTTATGGTATGAACTACTTGTTCTTATTAGTCAATAATCATATGTATAGCCAAGTTTAACGCTATTTTGTAAGATTTGGCCTTGGTTCATATTTTCTATTGGGAAAAGGAAAATGGGTTCATTTGTCTTGTAATACTCCATTTACCCATTTAAAGGTTAAGGATTTCCTTACAACAAAATAGTAAAAATTATTTTTCACCATGTCTTTTGTACAATACTTTTCCAGTTGAAACTGCATGAAGCAGAGCTGATATAATTTTATTAAGTATTCTTCTTTTAGCCTGTGATCCAACTTAAAAAAAATCTAATTATATAATCATTATAGTTGACACTGTTAGAAATCTTAAGAGTGGGTCTAATATAACATTAGCCCTTTTTTTTTGTGAATTGAAAGGTTAATCTCTATGCAAGACATATAGGGAAATCCCCAGAAAAAATTGAGGAGGATATCAGGCGTCCAAAATATTTCAGCCCTAGTGAAGCGGTTGAGTATGGCATCATTGATAAGGTATTCTGTAAGGATATAGAATGGTTTTCTGTTTGTTGTATTGCCACATCAGCATATCCTAAGACCTTACTTCTCTGTAGGTACTGTACAATGAAAGAGCAGGTGAAGATCATGGGGTTGTTTCCGACCTGAAAAAAGCACAACTTATATAGGAAAAGTGGTTATTTATGTAAAAGCACAACTTATTGCATAAAAATTAAGTATTGAGGTAACACTGGTTATTTATTTGTAGTTTTGGATCTTAATCTGATTTGTTAAGTGATTTGGAAGAACTGCATTCATGTATGATAAATTATAGCTTTTTTAACTTCTCAATCAGCACTGTGCGTCATGACTGAAATTATGTCAAAAATTGTCTCCAGCTTTTATTGGAACTCCTTTTCTCAAGGTTCTATAACATTAATACTGTTTGAATGGTTTTGATGGCAGGTCGCATTACTGTAAACTATCTGGGTTATGTACTTGGGACCACATGATCTCAACAACCAGTTTCAAATTATTATACTCACAAATGATTTATGTAGTGGTCTTCATTATCTGCCATGGTTTTTTTTTTGTTTGTTTCTGGGCCTTTAATGAACTTTCTATTCTTAGGTCAGTCATTTTGTTCCCCAATTTCTTCACCTGTAATGACATCAAATGCTGTCCTCAACTAACCCATTTGATTATGGCGATGGCCTGTTGGTTCTGGAAAAGAAAAGGACATCATCATCTTCATGATGATTTTTCTTATCCAATTAGTTATTGAAAACAATGCTGCTGCTTTCGTGAAACCTATACTCTATGCACCTCAACATCCCTAACAAATTGGTCCAAGTGACATTTGGAAAGGTTTTGAAGTGGTTGCTTTGACTAATTGATATTGTTGCTTTACACTTGGGTTGAGATTGATGGACTGCCAGCGGAATTGTTTGGAGTTGGATCATTCATCATTCAATTCCATTTCTTGCTTGATATCATCATTTTCTCCTCACTCCCACTGAACTTTCCGCTCCGCCCCTCTTTCTCTTCCCCGAACCTTAAAAATGTAGGAAGAAGGCGTGAAGCTTTGAAAAATATGGACTATACATACGCCTGCTTGAAAGTTGAATAATTTGTCCCAAGTGGTATGACCCATTTGAAAGAGCGAGCTTATTTGCTCAGTCCCATAAGAAGGATCCTCACTTTTCTTAGTTTTGAAGATAGGGCTTTATGATTATGATACATGGGATGCTCAATGACAATGTGGTGGAACTGGATCCCATTCCCAGCCCTTTACTATTGACGTTTGTTACCCAACCCAAGGATCAAAGTATCAACATCGGCCCGTATCGGCCGATACGTATCATTTTGGGAGTTTCCTGATACGCCCCTACAGAGAGTGTATCGGGGTTCTGACCGGTTCAGGGGGTGGAGCCTTAAATTGACTTCCTGAATCGGTTTAAAAAAAGTAAAAAAACACTATCAATTTAGTCCGAAACGCCCCTACCGGTGTATCGGACGTATCGGTATTTTGAACCTTGACCCAACCCCATCGTCCATAGCTTTGCTGCTCTATTTATGACGCCCATCCAAAGCAATTCAAGCAGTTTTGTTGAGTCATGGCCCTGATGTGATGATCCATAGGACCCCTGGGAAGCCAGCATGTACGACTCTGATTACTCGTTCACATAGTCTTCAAGTTTTATTTTCGATGGATTATCACCCCCCGACAAGTTTGAAACCTTGCACCAGTGACCAGACTGAACTGGATATGGATGTTAGAACTATGTTGCCCAAACATGACCATCCATGGAGCATCCTTCCAACTTGTACAGTTGTACTAAATTACCAGAGTGATGAACAGGAATGGGTGTCCAATTGAAGAAACTAAAGCGTTTTGGTAGAAAACATTTAGATAATTTGCAAGTTGTGTACTAAAGAATTCTGAAGAAGATAAACAATGGAAGCATATACACATCTATATGCACTTTCCATCTCAAAATACCTAGAGAAATTGCCCCGAATGTGGAGATTACTCTTAGACTATGATAGTTTAAGTTATGTTCTAACTTCTAACCAATCTCTTAGTGCCTTCCAGAAGTTCATCGCTGGGGATCATCTTCATCTACACATGATTCATAAAGTGGTGGTCCAACCTCCGGCAATGAGACTATTAATGTGTTACAGAGTCCAGTGTCCCAGACCATTCTATGGGTCTCGAATCGAAACCTCAGACACAAGTTTTTACCTTGCGTGGGTGCTTGGAACTTTTGTAGGAAATTTGTTCCTAGTTCAAAGTTCAAACAAACGATATCTGATCACAACTGCACTCACTGGACAATTAATTTACCATATATAGATCTTTGATCTGTTAGGGAACCCACCAAGTGATCGGTCAGGATCACTGGTCACCAACCCAGCTGTGTGTGACCACTCTCTGAAGTCTGATCTTTTCGCTCTATTTGTATCTTTTTTCAATTTCAATGAAAAGGTGCCGCCATTTGCCAAGTGTTAAAAGGTCTGATATGGAATATATGGTAGTGGAATCTTCTGGTTGTGAGTGCTTTTTCTCCTAATTCCTAGAGTCCTTATCCATCCATCGTCTTGAGACAAATGGAGGGAAGGTGACGGAGGATAAGAATGTGAGACCCTAATGACTAGGTTTAAGCTTGGTGAGCTACCACCAAACCCCTTGTTGAGTTCATCCAGTTGTAATCAGCCCATAGCTTTGAGCCTTGACCCAGAAGGTGGTTATAAAAATGAACCATTAAACCATAAAAAAAAAATAAGAAAGAGGAAGAATGTTTAAACTAATATGTGTTGATGTATGATGTGTAATCTTTAAAAGATGAAAAGTGAAAGTGAGGGAGAAAAGTTAGGCAAGGCAGCTTAATCCTTGTCTATATTGTTCTTTGTTTGTAATGGCATTAATGAGTCAATTACGGTGTCTCCTTGTACACATCTTTAGTAGAAAGCCCTTGGACTCCTCCTTGTGGAGTGGAATAAACCCAGAAAAAGGTGGTAAAACTGATTCCCAGTCTCCTCCCCTCAACTATAAATATGGGTTTGTTCTCTTCATCCCTCCATCAAACCACATTTTTAGTTTTTAGAGCTTATTGTCCTTCCATCACCTTTGCTAGAGATTTTGGTGATAAAAGTCCCAAGACAATATGGGTGTGGCACTTAGAATCTCTTTTCTTTTTCTTTCTGTTATGGTCCTTTTGCCTGCTCTCTGTGTCTGCCAGGGCACCTTTACATGCTCCAGGGCGACATATTATGGTAGCCCTGATTGCTTAGGAACTCCAAGTACTCTCTCTCTCTCTCTCTCTCTCTCTCTTAAAGGTTAGAGAAGCTAATGGTTTAAACTGAAACAGGGGGAGCATGTGGGTTTGGTGAATTTGGAAGAATCGTTAATGGTGGAGATGTGGGGGCAGTTCATAGGTTGTACAAGAACGGCACAGGATGTGGCGCATGCTACCAGGTTAATTAATTAACACTCTACGTACTAGCTAGTACTTTGAGCATGGGAAGCAATTAAACAAAGTAGTGAAAAACTGAAAACTTGGGTTGTCTGTTTGAGATTCAGGAGTAGTGATAATAAGTAGTTAATTTGTTGTTATACCCATGATGATTCCTAATGGTTAATGTTATGATGCACAACTCAGGTGAGATGCAAGAGACCAGAGCTCTGCACAGACGACGGGGTGAACATCGTGGTAACAGACCATGGCGAAGGCGACTACACAGACTTCATCCTCAGCCCCCGTGCCTTCACCAAGCTGGCTCGCCCCAGCAGAGCCTACGATTTGATGGCTTATGGTGTGGTGGACATAGAGTTCAGAAGGTGCTCATCATCAGTACAGGAGAATTAAAAGACATAAGACTTAACAATATTCCATCTATTCAATTGTTCCTAGTTTAAGCCTTAATGCTGATCAGTGATCACTACTGACTTAAGCGTTGCATGCATGCAGGATATCTTGCCAATATCCAGGGTACAACCTCATGATTAAGGTCCATGAGCACAGCAGGTACCCCTACTACTTGGCCATAGTTATCATATACCAATCTGGCCAAAAGGACATTACAGCCGTTGATGTGTGGCAGGTATGTAATATATTTAGATGATCAGAGACAATACTAATTCTCAGTGTTTTTGGCCTGAGAACTGTCTAGGCAACCGATTTCATTTCACCCTTAATTTGATCTTTGGCCAAAATTCGTTGATTTGGCCAATGACCTACTGTGTTAAAATTATCAACCCGTTTAATGATTTTTGACTGTTTTTTTATTTTATAAGTTAAACTGATCATCTGTTCGAACCAGACAATCAAAACTGTCAACCCAAAAATAGTGGCCAAAACAGTTCTGATTCCGAATAGGTTTTTAAACATTGTTGTTGTCTGGGTATGCATGCAGGAGGAGTACAAGGAATGGAGGTGCATGCGCAACGCCTATGGTGCAGTCTGGGACATGGCCAACCCTCCCAAGGATGCTGTCAGCCTGAGGCTCCAAATCAGTGGCGATGACGGACAAAAGTGGGTACAGCTGAATAGCGTGATCCCTACTGACTGGAAGGCAGGAGTTGCCTATGACTCAGCCATTCAGCTCGATTGATGTAGCTAGGCTAGGGCTTTTAGTGCTTAGAACTGGAGTATCTATATATTAAATATAGTGCCTACTTTATCATGGATTGATTTCTTGTTAATAATTAATTAATTGTGATCAGTTTGGTACGCTCGCGTGCTCTTTTAGCCTTGCTCTCAATACAGTTGGGAGATTGTGTACTTTGATAGTGACATAGCAAATGAATTAAAAAGTTTTCACTTTTGATTTATGTATGAATATGTGAAGTTTGTCACTTTGGATTAAGACACCAATTACGGTTTAAATGGATGAGATTGACACATAGAGAATCAACAGAGATGGAATCAAATCGATTTCCAAAATCCCTTTTTGGATATTCCTTAATGTCCCAACTACTCATGGAATGTGAGAAGCTCTAAAAGAAGTTAAGGGTCTTATTTGATTCATAGTTAGAATCAGAATCGGAATTGGAATGGTTTATTTCTATAGTTTGTTTGGTTCAAACAGGAATGAAAATGGGAATTGAAATTAGCAGGTCCCAAGGAAAGAGCAAGGAATGGCCATTCCCTCAAATGGGGGATATCACTCCAGCAGGAATAGGAATGGCATTTGAATTCCACTCAGTCGAACAGTTGGAATCAGAATCGTCCATTCCGATTCCGATTCCAAACCCCTATATGCAAACCAAATAGGGGCCTAAATAATTTCTTAGAAATCCTACAAGATCAATTCTCATTCGGAGGGATGCCAAATGACCATCTCAGCTATTAGGTGATCAACAATATTTGCTTTTAACTTGAAAAAAAACATATCTAACTGGTTAGGTAACATCTAAGGCCCTGTTTGGAAATATTCCCACCTGTTCATGTTCTTTTAGAAATTCTTGTTCGAGAAGAATAATTTTATTTCTTGTTCTTTAGGAGTAATAGATACATTTAGCAAATTGTTCTTTGAGAACAAATTTTTGTTCTACATTAATAGAAATAGCGTTTGGATAATGAAACTATTTATTAATACTAGTTTTGCAAATCCACCCACATTAAGCCTAAAATTAACCATAAAAAACATGTGTCATTGTCATAGTGATGTCTTCATGTTGCCACCACCTAATCCTTGATCACTTGAGGATCAAAACAAAACATACAAGCAATAAAACAAAAGCCTAACATGCCATGATGCAACAACACCCGCAAGCAGTAATGGCTACAAATTGATCCCTATTTCATGAAATTGGTTCTTTTTGCACTTCAACATGTTTGCCACTGATGGAGGCTGATTTGGCCCGACCTCGTAGTACGGGGACACGTGGACACAACCTGGCATAAGTGATAACTCAGCGTGACATCCTGGCCATAACTTGGCGTAACGAACTCGTCGGAGCCCAGCCGGACAACTCGGTGGATGTGGCAACTCGCCGGGAAGTAACATCCAGCTTACCCCGAATTCTCTCTAAGGGAGGAGCGCCCCGAGCTCCCTCCAAGTGAGGAGTCCCGAGCTTCTCCCAGTGAGCCTCGAACTCTTCCTTCCTGAGAAGGGAACACCCCGATCTGCGGCTAAGTATCCCGAAGTGGAAACACTTCGGACCAGCACCATTAACACTCCTGCCTAAGGCTCGCCTCAAGCATAAGCACCTCGGCGCACCCCCAGCACCTCGGTGTAAGATAGCTCGGAAACCTGCAGGAAAGATCTGCCTGACAACAATACCTGCCGAATCTGGAGGCTGCGCCCACGTCCCTCGTCAAGCGGCGGCATGCCTGCCATTTCTGCAAGATGTGGCACGCTTGACAGGTTCGTACCCTGCAACGGCTGCCTGCATCCACCACCTTAGCTCTGGCAGTAACAGATGCGGCATAGGCAGTTACATCTGATTTGACAGATCTCCAATATAAAAGGACCTCGATCCCCAAGGAGAAAAGGTACTAAACTTGCGCCATCTGCACTCTTAGCTCTCTCTTTGCATTCTCTACAGTTCTCACAGAGTTCTAACTTAAGCATCGGAGTGTTCCCGCTGGGCGAACTCCCCGGGAATTCTTCACTTTCCTCTTTGCCTTAGGTACCGTCCGTCGCCAGGTAGGAGCCAGGTAGGAGTGTCCGGATCGCACTGCATCATTTGGCGCCGTCTGTGGGAATGCTTCAAAAAGCCTTCCTCTAATCTCTGCAACTCTCAAAAATTAGCATCCATGGCTTCCTCCAGCAATGTCGGATGAGGTGCAAACCAAAATGCCTCTGAGGAGCAACCCCAGCTTCCCACTGTCTGCATTGGATAGTTCACCGTTTCCCTCTCTGCGGACGGAGTTCCTAGCCTGAATGTGCCTCAAACAGTGGCACCTGTGAACGCTTCACTTCCTTCCACGAATGGAACAACCTTCACTGAACTCTCCATTGTTCCTCCGGTGACCAGCCAAAACCAGCTTGAAGACCTGATGCAATGCATACGAGCTATGCAAGCTCAAATGCAACAGTTCCAATAGTTTCAACTCTATCAGCAGCAAGTGCTGCATCAAGTTTCCCAGTATCAGTATCAACAGCAGTTTCCTCCACTGCCTCAAGCCCAGTAGCTGCTTCCTCCTCGGCATCCGACCACATAGCAGGCCAAGCCTCGCCATTGGAACGAACGTCCTTTTCGCCAGGGAGAGACCTCGGCATCATCTCACAGCAGGAAGGAGAGACCAGCTACCCCTGCCTCGTAGCCTATAGTCAGGTTGGGGGCCTCCCATCCAGTTAGGCCCGTGTCGCCTCAACATTCGCAATTCGAGCTCCCGCTCGCCGAAAACCAGTTCGAGGTATTGGCCGTAGATTTGAGGCAAGGCCCCTTAGTTCGCAGCTACTAGTAGTAGTCCGAGCCCCTCCTTGGGCCCATTGAGCTCGGTAATACAGAGGCCAACAGTACTAACGCTGAGCCAACAAAGAAGCAGTGGAGGCGTTGCCAAGCTGCCACTCACGACCTGCCCGAGCTCAAGGGTAAGGAAGAGGTAAGCTCGGGTGAAATAAAATCTACTCCACTTCTCTCAGTTCCATCCCCCCTATCTCCAGAACTCCTTGCTATTCCTATGCCCAAGGACTTTAAAGTTCCCCTGTTGGATAAGTATGACGGATCCTTCGATCCGAATGACCATGTTGATGCCTTCCAGTCCCAGATGCACTTGGCGAGGGCCAACGAGTCCTGCATGTGCGTAGCTTTCTCCACCACTTTCAAAGGGGTGGCCCGCACATGGTACCAGAACCTTGCGCCCGGATCAATAAGAAGTTGGGTGCAGTTTGTGCAAGTCTTCACTTCTCAATTTTTCACTAGCAAGCGGTGCCCCAGAACCCAAGAGAGCCTCCTTGGCATAGTCCAAAGGGAGGGAGAGTCCATCCGGAGTTATGTCAAGCGGTTCAATGACGCTTGTCTGTAGATACCTGACCTGGACTCCGCAGTTCGGCTCACTGCGGCCAAGAGGGGCATCACGCACAAGGAATTCAAGTGGCATGTGGTTGTTAATCAGCCCAAGACTATGACCGAGTTCCTCAAGCTCGCGGATCAGTTTATAGAGACGGAGGAGGAGATCAACTAGAAAGGTGAACAGGCCCTTGAGAAAATAAAAAGGGAGACAGAGCCCTCAACTCAGGGTGATAGCAAGAAGAAGAAGAACTAAGCTCGGGGGGCAAGGCCAGGTCAACCTTTCCGAGCTCCAATGGTAGAGAGGACGGACTACACAGCCCTGAACACAAAGCGGGCCAAGATCCTTATGGCGATCAAGGACGCTCCGTATGTGAAGTGGCCACCTTGACTGAAGGCGGATCCTAATGTAAGAAAGAAAAATTTGTATTGTAATTTCCATAAAGACCACGGTCATAGTACCGAAAATTGTAAAAACCTCCGCGACGAGATAGAGGAGCTCATCCGTCGCGGATACTTAAGAAATTTTGTATAGAATAATAATAATAATAAAGCAGGTCGACAGGGGGAACAGAGTAGAGATGCTCCCAAATCCAGCAGGCAAGCAGAGCAGCCGTAGAGGCAGCCCCCTGAAGAAAGACCAGTTCGGGGAACTATTCATGTGATTGTCGGAGGTTCAATCGTCGCGGGTTGCACCTCGGCTGCAGCTTGGACATCAGCTCGCAAGGCCGCTAGGGAAGGGCAGAATTCCCCGAAGCGACCAAGGACGGAAGACCCGATCTTCTTCACAGAGGATGATGTGCGTAGGGTCCACTACCCCCATGATGACGCGCTCGTAATAAAGATAAATACTAATGACTTTGAAGTCAGGCGTGTCCTCGTCGACTCTGGCAGCTCGACAGATATCCTCTTCAAAGCAGCATTCGACAAACTTCAGCTCTAGGAGAGCGATCTTAAGCCTGCAAGCACTCCCTTAGTAGGTTTCAGCGGAGAGGAAGTCAGGCCCTTGGGAAGAGTCACCGTACCTGTGGAGGTTGGCATCTGGCCTAGCATGGTAAGGCTTAACCACGATTTCTTGGTGGTCATGACTCCCTCCCCGTACAATGCCATAGTGGGTCGGCCCATCAACCCACGCCTTACGCGCGGTGGTCTCCACCTACTATTTGGCGATGAAGTTCCCTATGGACTTCAGAGTCGGGGTGGCGTGAGGCGATCAGCTTGAGTCCCACAAATGCTACGTTGCCGCCCTCAAAGGAAAAGCCAAGGTGGTAGACGACCTCGAGGTGGAGCGACCTACGGAGTAGTGCGAGGAGCGAGCTGCACCCACCAAAGAGACTGTCTCCATCCCGGCATCGACAGAGGACCCATCTCAGACACTTCAGATCGACGCTTCTATTGAGGAGCCTTTGCGATCCCAACTAGTAAGTTTTTTACTTGAAAATTTAGATGTTTTTGCATGGTCTGCGACAGAGATAACCAGCATAGACCCTGGCATCATAACTCACAAGCTTAATATTGATCCTGTAGTTAGGCCCGTTAGACATAAGAAACGCAACTTAGCCCTAGAACGATGGAGAGCAGTTGACGAGGAGGTCGGGAAGCTCCTCGCAGCCGACTTTATCCGAGAGGTCCATTACCTGAGCTGGGTGGCCAACCCCGTTCTGGTAAAAAAGGCTAACTGTAAATGGCGCATGTGCGTCG